TAAAATGATCTTTGTATCAAATTATTATTATTTTAATAAAATTTAAAAATCTAAACAGAAGTGAAATTATAATGGCGCATATTAATATTAATATGTAGATTTAGCAAAAAAAAAGGGGGCGAAATTAGCTTCTAATTCTATATAGTAACCCCTTAGAAATTTTTATAAATGTGCCCTAAAATGTTGCAAAAATCGGTGGATATGTTAATCAATTTTAATACTAATTTAAAATGTAAATATTTCTAAATTGTCTAGAAACAGCTTTCAACAGTTGTGTTTCCTTGACATTTTCTTATGATTAAATATTTATAATAATAATAATATTGATTACAAAAAAAAAATACCAATTGTTCATTATCTTGATAAGAATCTTCCAGTAAATTCTGCTCTGCATTTTGATTTCAATTTCAATTATAATATTTATAAGACTGATATTTATTTATAAAATATTCATTAAAAAAATATAAATCAATACAAATAAAAAAAAAATACTTATAAACAGCACATCTTTGGAAAAATTAAATCGAGAAACATCGCTCACGTTTTGCCATCTTATACCTTGTCAAAAATAAATTGTTTCCCAAAAAAAAATAAAATTCGATCTTTGTACGACACAGCGCGAATAATTGATGTTTTGATTTGGCATTTTTTAAAAAAAGAATAAAAGTAATAATAGAATAAGAATATAGAGTAGTTAGAGGGTAAGTGTTATAAGTATTATTATCAAAAAGAATGGTGGTTATCGTCACTTGTTGTCACTCTAGTTATAAATATTAAAAATAATGGTGCATTATTTAAATCTAATATTATTGGAGCATTTTCTTTTCCCCCTACTTCTCAACAGCATCAACCTCTTAGACTACATTAAAAAATCAATTTGACCAACTCAACCACTTCTTCAAATATCAAACAACCAAGCTCTTCAGATATTGAATTATTTGATGAACAGAAATTTATCTACAACCTAATAATCAACAAAAAAGAAAACACATTCTTTACGAATTCTACAGGTAAGTTATTATTTTTATCATTTATCATCATCATCATCATTATTTTATCAGGTATAAGAAAGAGCCTTCTTTTGTTAAAGATTCACACGTTTTTTTTTTTTAAGTTAATAAATATTGATAATAATAATTACATTGGATTTATGAATATAAAATAATCACATTCAAATTTTTTTGTTTGAAGTTTCTCTTGAAGGACCTTTGATTTGTTGTGTTAGACATATCTTAGCAACCCAAGATTTAAAAATCATTTATGGAGAAGATTATGTGCCTGTAAAGCAACAGGCATATCAACAAACAAAATCCGTGGTGTTACAATACATTCCTGTGCTGGTATAAAAGATTTATTATAATTATGTATAATAGCATTTCTAAAAATATAAACCTGAACTTGAATTTGATTTTAACATTACAAAAATTATCATTAGAAGAAAATCCACTCCTTTGGTGGAATCAGAAAAAGGTGGTTCTACTTCAAGCTAGGATTTACTTAGCTATACCAGCAACTCAGTTCCGTCTGAGAGGTTGTTTTCCTCAACTGGAAATGTATTCGTAGAAAAGAAATAGACTGAGTCAATACGACCTTCATAATATATTATTTTTGAGGGAAATTGTAAACTGTTTGATCAATAAGTTGGTTAATTATATATTTAATTAAATTTTTATATTTTAAATTGAATTTTTCAGTAAGAATAAATAATTCATTTGATAAAAATTTTCTTAAGTGTTAGCAACTAGGGTTTTCTACCGGCTGACATTGCCAATTTGGCCTTGCAGTAAATCTGGAATGCATTGAAATCCATACCTGTCTGTGGTTCGGTTTGTGATTGTGCTAGTAAGAATCGAATCATATAAAAAGTTTTGATTGGTTGCTTCAACCTAATCTGTTGGTGGTATTGTGGAATTGTTACAGGAAGAAGGTAATTCTTATTCTGCTAAAATTTTAAATTCAAACATTGATTGCTTGTAGAAAATTTACAGTTCAAAAATTCTACCAGGAATTTACTGAAGGCATTATTGTTGATAGGAATTTTCTAAGACCTGTCATCGAAGGTAATCTTTCAATTAATAAAGACCGAAAAATAGTGAGCATGATTTATGGCTATGGCATAAAGCAATGAATCCCAATTAAAGGAAATCCATGGTTTTTCATTAGTGACCCAACTCATGTTTTCAAGAAGCTTTGTAATAATTTATCAAAGTGTTATACAAGACAAGATGATGAAAAATATGTGTGAAATTATGTTTGAAGATAATGGAAACATATCAAAGGAGTTTATGATTATACTGGTCATCATGCAACAGCTAAGTCATCAAGGCTAACTTAGTGTCATATTTGGTTAACACCTTGGAGTAAGATGCATGTTGATTTAGCCGAACAAACTCTTTCAAAGGATGTTGAGAATGCATTAGAGGTTATTGAAGAATTGAATGACATCTCTGAAGGGAAAAGCGTAAGAAATATAAATACTAATAGATGTTAAATTTACTTGATCTTGTTATTAACATGTATCTATCTTTACTAGGAATCCAAGAGATTATAGACAGCAAAATTAGTTCACGGATATGAAATGATCCACGAATTAAAGCATTAAAAATATTTGTGATCGTTTTGCTACATGATAATCAAGAGCCATGGAATGGATTTCATCTCAAAGTCATTTGATTTGATTTGCCTATAAGTGACTTTCATGGATTGTTAGAATACATTCTATCAAGATATAAAACTGCAAGTATACAATACATTTCCTTTACAATTGGGTTTTTTTAAAGAAATACAGCACCCTACTATATATTTCAAAAAATAATTATTCTTTAAACAAGAATGTCTATTACTATTATTGTGTAAATTTGTGCTATTTTGAATAAAAATTATTATTTAAAGAACAACTTCAATATCAAAAAAAAAAATTCATCCCATTGCTAAACTCTAATGATAGATTAAGAACTTTAACATTATTCTTTTTCTTTGTTTTCTATTTTTATTACTCAAATTTAAAACTTGCACAAAAACCTGTCTAATGTACTATGTTTCAAACTCAGATACTAAAGCAATTCAAGAGCGGGGTTTATTGTGCATTTACTATTATGCATGATTAAATATCATTCATGTGCTAAAGACAATTCGAACGTGTTTTGATTTTATGAATATAGTTTTGTTGTAATAATAGTTGTAACATAGTAAAGAAACATGAATTTGTTATATACAATGAAATTTTTAAAAATTATATAATAAATTGAACCTTTTTGGACGGCACCAATATATTATTATGCGATACCATTATAATACTACTACTACAAGTGTGTAAAGTGTGTACTTATTCTGTACAAAACAAAAAATTTCCTTTTTGCAGCTATTATGAAAATATTAATTAGTTTTGTGCCAATTAAATAAATGATTTTAATTTCTCACTAGTGATAAAGAATCTTTAAATGACTTAGTCGGTTAATATGATAAAAAAAATTATCGTAACATTCATTTTTATGTCTGGAATTTTAGTGCAGATTCAGTTTATAGACACTTAGATGAGTCCATCTGCATTATTTAGAATGACAAAAAAAACATACATGCTTGTAGCAAGATAAAAAATAATAATAAAGAAAGCAATAGCAATAGTTAGAGTTTCTATTCATAATAGAAATTCTTATTCATTTATTTGAATAAACTTTCAGTGCAATTCAAATACTCAAATTCATAACAAATAATCATATTCGAATAGAAATCCTAGCAATAAGAACCATTAAATAGTAATAGTGATAGTGAATTAGGAGATATTAGTATAATAATAATAACAGTAAACAATGATAATATAATAGTAGTAATAGTACTGGAAAGCTTAGCATTATCCGAGAAGTTATTTTCATATTAATATTAAGCATAATTTTTACTTTAAGTCAAGGCTT